CAAGCATTCTTATCATTTCAGTTGGAACCCTGCTAATTTTAACCGTCGGTTAATCTAACCGGACTTGGTGAAATTGGCCCTAAGTGTTTCCAATTTCTAAAAGTGGATGCACGGCGCTGCTCTACGGCCTAGAAAAAGCGTCTCACGAAAATCGCTGGCATTGCCTCTCTCAGGCTTCTCTCTGGTATCGATCATGTAACTTTTCCCCTAGGGCGGAAAAGTGAAAAGTGAAAAATTTTGCCATTGATTTCAATGCTAATATTTTTCACTTTTCACGTTTCCGCCCTAGGGAAATAGTTACATGATTGGTACCCTGATTCCTATTTAAGTCACGCATGCGCAGATATTTAGGGCCGGAGCACAGACTTTTGCATAAGCGCATAATCATAAGCATAAGGAAATTGATTGGTCCATTTCTTTATGCATATGCTTATGGACCAATCAATTTCCTTATGCTTATGATTATGCGCTTATGCAAAAGTCTGTGCTCCGGCCCTAAATATCTGCGCATGCGTGACTTAAATAGGAATCAGGGTACCAATCATGTAACTATTTCCCTAGGGCGGAAACGTGAAAAGTGAAAAATATTAGCATTGAAATCAATGGCAAAATTTTTCACTTTTCACTTTTCCGCCCTAGGGGAAAAGTTACATGATCGATACCAGAGAGAAGCCTGAGAGAGGCAATGCCAGCGATTTTCGTGAGACGCTTTTTCTAGGCCGTAGAGCAGCGCCGTGCATCCACTTTTAGGAATTGGAAACACTTACCCACATCCACTTTTCGGTACTGTCGGTCAAATCTCCATATGGTTCATGTCCGTGCTACATCCACTTTTCGATACTGTCGGTCATTTGGTTCATATCCGTGCTACATCCACTGTTCGATCTTTTCGATAGTGGTAGTACACTGAGCGCTTGACAAAGAGAGATGATCGCGCCGTCTTTGTCTCTCTTTCATCGCGTATGTGTGTAGTATCCGTGAAGGCACAAACACCGATACGTTGAGCACACGGATGCGATCGTTGAGAGATAAATCTAGACAAGGAGCGACAATGCTTTCTGGCCTCTCGTGGCAGAAAGCAACAAGGCTAACGGGCGCCTATTTTTTGAGAATTTTATATTTGTATATATGTTTAAATTATAGTTAAAATTATACGTGCAATTAAATATTGTATGTTGATCAATAATAATAGTAGAATAATAGGTAACAGAGTGAACAAATACGCAAGATGTAAGACAAAGGGTGCCTGTTAGACTTGGTAACTTGTTGCTTCGTTCCTATATAATATCGATGATACTTCGTACATCATATCAACGGGATAGAGAAATAGCACGATTGTCAATCCCTGTTTGACATTATTTTGTTAATGCAATTTACAAAAAAAAGACAAATACAAAAGTTATTTATTTATTAATTATAATATAATAGTGAATAATAAATAGCATTAAAAATATATTGATATTAATATATATTTTTGTACAATAATATAAAACCAGATATAACAAAATAAATTAATTTATAGAAATATAAAACATGATTAGTAGTAGAAAAAGTAAACAATAACTTACTTAACATAAACAATAACTAACTCTGAAATAAAATTGTATATAAGATTTTAATATAAACTGTAATATAGGTTCATAATTAAATTCTTTATATGAATATATAAAATGTAATATTTATTATATATTATATTTCTATATATTTTTATATATTATATTTTTATTTTGAATTTATATATGTATACTCTACGGCCTAGAAAAAGCGTCCCACGAAAATCGCCGGCATTGCCTCTCTCAGGCTTCTCTCTGTCCATACCCAGTAGGAAAGAGGATAGGAGCTGGATGTCTAATATGGCCGATGTGTACAGACGAAAAGTGTTTGTATGTGTGTATGTGTGTGCTGTATACGCATGTGTTGTGTACATACTTTCCGGGGCCATGTATTTTATAGGAGTTAGCGGTCTAGTATTATATAAAAGTCTGTGGTTCAACCGCAGGCGATAACAAACAAACGAATTCGAGAATCTCATAAAGCCCGTATCAGACTATGCATTGAGATTGAAATTTGACCAATCAAGACAAGAAAATTTTAGTTCCTTTTATTCTGATTGGTCAAATTTCAATCTTCAATACGTAGTCTGATCATAGACTAAACCACCATAGGCCATCACATACAAAATTCCGTAAGGAAGTAAGACGTAAGCGTAAGAAAATGGATCAATCCCAATCGAGTATT